GGCAGGTTTGGGGAGTCAGGAGCGCCCTCTCCCTGCCCTGTAACAATATTATATAAACTCCCAAGGCATTTAGAGGATTTCTCTCCAGTATGAGATCTTTTTTTCCCCCTTTTTTTTTTTAATGTTCAACGGAAGAGCTTGTCTAAAGGTTATCCTACATTCAGTGTACATATTTACTTTCTCCCCTCTATGAATTTTCTGGTGTTTTCTAAGATATGTGCTCTGGTTTAAGGCTTTTCCACATTCAGTACATTCGTAGAGTTTTTCTTCAGTATGAGTTTTCTGAGGGTTGTCAAGGCCTAATTCTCTCCAATATGTAGGACCTGGAGCAGTAACTAAATTTCCTGCATCCATTCCATTGATAGGATTTTTCACTAGTGTAAGTTTTTTTGTGACTTGTGAGGTTTTTTTTCCCACATAGGTTACATTTATAGGGTTTCTCTCCCATGTGAGTTCTCTGATGTTGAGGATGTGTTGGCCTATCATTGAAAGATTTTCCAGTCATTGCATTTATAGGGCTTCTCTCCAGGATGAATTTGCTCATGCTAAGTGTTAAACAGAAACTGAAAGTTTCCCCACAAACATTATGCTTATAAGGGCCCTCTCCATAGTAAGTCCTCTGATGTCAAATATGTCCTCAGTAGACACTAAAAGTTTTCATACATTTGCTACACATGTAGGATTTTTCTCCAGTATGAACCCTCATATGTTATGTGAGGAATGAATTCTGGGTGAAAGGTTTCCCACACTCATTACATTTACATGGCTTCTCCCCTGTGTGACCTCTCTAATATTAAGTAAGCTTTGTACTCCTGCTGAAGGGTTTTCCACATTCCTTACATTCAGAGGGTTTTTCTCCAGCTGAGTGCTTTGATGCTGGATAAGGGCTGAACAATCACCAAAGGCATTCCCACAGCCACTGCTTTTGTATGGTTTCTCTCCAGTCTGTATTCTGTGCTGTTGAATGAGGTCTGAACAGAATACCTTTTCACAGCCATTACATTCATCAGGCTGCTTACCAATATGAATGATATGATGTCCAATGAGATCTGAGTGATCACTGAAGACTTTCCCACATTCATTACACTCATAGGGCTTTTCTCTGGTGTGAATTCTTTGATGTTGAAAAAGATATGCTCTCTGACAAAGTTACAGTAATCTAACCAGGATGGTACTAGAATATGAATAGATATGAGAGCCCAGAAAAAAAATCTTCATACATGTGTTAATTGATTTTTACTAGGACTAAGATCCTTCAATTGGGAGAGAACAATCTTTTCAACAAATGGTTATAGAAAACTGAGTATCCATGTGTGGACTAATGTATATTTAGTTTACACCAAACACAAATGAACTATAAATACCAGATTTAAGTGTAGAACTACAAAACACAGGTGAAAATCTTCATGGCTTTGGGCCAAACATAATTTCTCAAGTATGACATCAAAAGCACAGACAATGAAAAAAATTGGACTTTATCAAAATTTGCATTTTGGGGCAGTTCTCCTGCCCAATAATGTCTACACAGGCATCTCTCTTTCCTTTTTCTTTTTTTTTCCCAGATAAAACTTGCCATGTGCTGATGAATGGAAAAAGAATTTTTTTTAACTTTTTAGAGGGAATGGGGCGAGGGAGTAGGAAATGGGGTATTGGCACCAGTAGTTTGGTGGAGGGTAAGTGAAATATGTGCACATGTGGGAGAGCAAAAATGTAACCCCCCACAAAGTACAGTTTTTTAAAAATTTAAAACTTTTGCACATCAAAGGACACTCCTGAAGAAGAAAAGTACAATCTGCAGAATGGGAGAAAATATATGTGCATTATATATCTGATAAGTAATTTTTAAAAAAGATTTACTTATTTATTCATACAGAACTGGGGTACAGGCCAGAGGTGCAGGGGCGGTGAGAAGATTCACCAGAGAAAGAGTGGGGAGCAGGACAGGCAGATCACTGAAGTACACTGCTGAGGGGAGCAGCGGGCAGGTCAGGAGAGGTCTGCCACGCCATGTGGGTCACCTCCAGGTCACATTGAAGCACTGTGGCCAGCTTGCAGTGCTGTGCTTTAGCCCACTGCACCACCAGGGAGGGCCTGATAAGCAATTCTTACCCAGAACATATAACAACATCTCAGCAACCATAAAAAAAATCCAGTTTAATAATGGGCAAGGATTTAATAGGTATTTCTCCAAACAGGCTACAAATTGGCACATGACAGGATTCTCAGCATTACTAGCCACTAGAGAAATCAAAATCAAAACCACAAGCAGACACCACTTTTTACTGTTAAGGTAGCTGTAAAAAAACCAAACCCAAAACACAAAATAACAAGTGCTAACAAGATGTGGGAAAATTGGAACCCATATGCCCTTCTGTTTGGAATGTAAAGTTGTGTATTCACTGTGGAAACCAGTTTGGCAGTTTTTCAAATAGTTGAACATAGCATTATATATCATTCAGCAATTCCACCCTTAAATGCACACCTAAAAGAATTGAAAACAGGGATTCATAAACAATGTTCACTGCAGCACTATTCACAATAGCTAGAAACAACCCATGTTCAGTAAGGGATGAAAGGAAAAACAAAACTTGTTATACAATGGAATTTTTTCAGTCATAAAAAGGAATGAAGTACTGATCCATGCTATAACATGGATGAACCTTGAAAACATTATAAATAAGCCAAAAAATAAAAGACAAGTATTGGGTTTGCCTGTAAAGATTCCACTTACACAGTATCTACATAAGCAAGTTTTAGAGATATAAATGGAGGCCGCTACAGCTCGGAGGAGACTCGAGTAACGTGGAGTGAGTATTCAGTGGGCTCAGGGCTTCTTTTGGGGTGATGAAAATATCCTGAAATTGGTGTTTGCATAATATTGTGAATATACTAAAAATTTCATTTACTCTTTAAAATGGTTAAAATGGCACATTGGGGCCCTCCCTGGTGGTGCAACTGGTTAAAGTTCAGCACTCTGAAGCTATCTGCAGCTACTTCAGCATGAGTTCGATTCCTGGCCAGAGAGGTGACCCACATGGTGTGACAGACCTCTCCTGACACGCCTAATGCTCCCCTCAGCAATGTATTTCAGTCAATCTGCCTGTTCTGCTCCCTACTCTGTCTCTGGTGAATCCTCTCACTCACCACACCTCTGGCATGTATGCATAATTAATCTTTTTTTTAAATGGCAACAATGATCTTGTGTATATTTTAATTAAAATATAATTGCAATGTTAAAATTGTAATAAAAATATAAAAGAAACGATAAACTTAAATTGTCTCTAGGTCCCTTTTAGCTTTAACATTTGGATCCTGCTCCTTTATACTTCATACTTTGGTAAACTTGAACCATCCTATGGTACTTGCACACAACTGATTTGCACACCCTTCCCACTCTTCTAGTTTACAAACATTTTAATAGATTGCCTTCTGCTCTATACATCTTTTCTAAGCCAACCCATCTCCTTGTCGCAACTATACTGCTTTGCATTAAATTTATCTGTAGACATGTATCTTCCTTTTAAATCGAATGATCAGGGTAGGGTCCTGACTGTATTCTTTATGTCTCTTGATGGAAACTTGAGAAATGACCTGCACTTATTTGCAGTGAAGTATGTAGACCGTGCAAAAAGCCAGGTTCTCCCGAGATGGACTGGGGAACACCTGCAGCAGAATCACCTGCGATGCACGGTGGAAAACGCAGTGTGGCTGGGACCTTCCTCAGACCAAGGAGACAATGTCTTGAGTGTGAACCTGGGAACCTCTACTTTGACCAGCTCCCGGGTGCGCAATTTTAAACGATTTAACAGCCATTGGTTTGGGTTATACTTGACAGAATCTCTTCAGGTCTTCAGCAGCTCTAGCGGACTGGCTTTCGCAGGCTTCGGGGGCCAATTTCCAATTCTGTCAACTTTGCAGGCGTCCGACGAGGGGCTTCGCCAGACCCGCAGCCGCGTCTGAGCGCGGCGGCCGCGCCCGGCTCCAGGGCGCAGGCGCAGCGTCGCGCGCGCCCGTTCGTTTCCCGTGTTCCCGCCGGTTCTCGCACCCGCGGTGTAAGCCCGGACAATTAGGTCCGGGCGGCAGCTCGCGTGGTGACTGAACCCCCGCTCTGAGCAGGACATGGCGACCCTGCTTTTCCTGAGTGGAAAAGTAATCGCGGGAACTGGGGAGCCCTGGAGCCGCGAGCCAGAGCTGGGGTTCTCCAAAATCCTTCCGGCTTCCCCAAGCCTGGTGCGCGCAGGTTCCGGGGGAGCTCGGGTCCCCCCACCCCGGGGCGTGTCCTGGTGCTCGCGGGGAGGGCTGTGGGTGAGTGGGGGCGCCGAGGGCCTGCGGCCGGGCCGGGCCGGGCCGGGCGGGTCTAGAGGCTCCGGGAAGACGGGCAAATGGGCTGTGGATGGTTTGGTGGCAGATCGGGCCGGAGGCACCTCCGTGGGGCTCGGGTTGGCCCCTCCGCAGCGCTGACAGCGGGCGGCCCGGGCGTGGAAAAGATCCGAGTTGCGCTCTGCACCCCTCTAGCTGGGCGAGGGAGGGTTTTGGTCCCCGAGAGTTTCCCAGGGGCTTACTATGTGCCCTGCGCCGCAATTGCGAGTTTTAACCTGCATTGACTTCTTTAATCCTGCCATTAAGTTCATGAGATGTGCTATTGTTACCCCATGTTACAGATAAGGAAAGAGAGGCACACCGAGATGAAGTCCCTTCCTCGAAGTTACCGAGCTTGTGAGTAACTTTATTTTCCGCTTTTGATGATGAGAACAAGTGGCCTTTGAACACAGTAGATGTTAGTTATTTGTCGGTTGAATTCTGTATATCACATTCTGTGAACTTAGTATCTTGAGTCAATTCCCAGGAATTCTGTTGTTGCCCTGGGAATTGGTTGCCCTGATCTGGGATTGAACTGAGGCTGCCTAGTTTCTTCTTCTACTGATTTCTTTGTGTGATGGCAAAGGCTTCCGCAAACAGCTCAATACCAGAAAGCAGTGCACCTAGACTAGAGATCTCAGAACCTTCGGGCCATGTTTCCTTCTGAACGACATAACCTCTCAATTGAAGGGGCCAGAAGTAGGGAGAATCCTTCCTGGCTTAGGAATTGATTATGAGGAAGTGGCATGATCCAAAGATTTTCAGATGGTTAGGATATCAGGAGATGGCCAGTGCTCTTAGGGCTGGAAAGTTACGATCTGATAAAGAGCAGATTGAGTACTGTAATTGCATGAGTAACTGTTTGGTAAGGGATACAGCACCCACAGAGTAGTATGGTGTCTAAATAACTTCTGAGGAAGGAAACAGGAAAAGAGAAAAAGGAATCTTCTTGGATGGAACCTGGGTCCTTAACCTTGTGGAGAGAAGACTTTCTCTCCTCTCTGAATTATTTCTCGGTGCTTCTGAGAGTTTTGTCACACCCACGAGTCCTCCTTTCCCCAATGCATGTGCATTCTATCAAGCTAGGAAAGAGAACACGTCTGACCATGCTTTAGAGCAGCAGTTCTTGATAGTGCTTCATGAGTTTTTGAGATCATCTTTCCTTAAGACTGATCACAATTTTAAAAGTAATTCGTTGGAAGTAAGCAATAAGATAAGCTCATGTTATACAAGATATGTATATACTTTGCCTTCTTTAACTTGAGGCATTCACAGAAGTTTATGAAGAGAAATGAGAAATACTAGCAGTGACGTTTTAAGCGTGACCAGTTTCAGAAACCTGAGTGACTTGCCCAGGAATGCGCAGGCCTGTGGTAGGGGCACAGTGTCAGCTGCCTTCTTTTCCAGCCCTCTTAAGGAAGGGAGGAATTTCTACCCCCCTCACTTTTCTCTCCTTCCAATGACAGGAAAATGATTAAGATACTAGAATATATGCTCCCTCATCTAATCTAGAATATGGACTTGGCTCCTATTTTTATCATTAAAGGGACCTAAACCCTAATATAAGTGTTTCAGGTTTTTAAAGATTTACAAGAACTGAGGTACAGGCCAGAGATGTGTAGGTGGGTGGGGGAAGTGAGAGAATTCACCAGAGTCAGAGGGGAGTGCAAAATAGGTAGATGTACTGAAATACACTGTTGAGAGGAACAGTGGTGAGACAGGAGAGGTCTGCTGCACCATGTGGGTCAACTCACTGACTGGGGATCGAACTCACACTGCTGTGGCTGTCAAGGACTTCACAGTGCTGGTACACTTTAACCCCTTGTGCCTCCAGGGAGGGCTCAGTTTGTTCTAGTCTTATCCCCTTGGTCTAGGGAAATGGGTATGTGTCTCAGAATTTGGAATCTAAAATTAAATTCCCATAACCAGATTGCACTGAACCAAACAATATAGTCTAACATCTCAGACATAAGACTGAGAAGGGTACACAAAACCAGATTATTTCTTCCTGATTTTTATATAACTACAAACAGAACTATTACCAAACAGAACTATTACCAAAATCCAGATTATTTGGCTAAGTGCTTATACCGAAGACCTCTGATACATCACTATTTCATGCCAAGGATGTCACTTAGCACCAAGGTGGCACTGTATTGGGGGGCTGAAAACTTTAATCCTTTGGTTACACAGATAGGGCTTTTAGCATAGTTGGGACTACTGCAACCTTGCAAGGTGGTCATTTCTCAGAAGGCATCATTCCAAACCTCATGGTTCTCTGGAATCAAAATCATGCAGGTAACTGGGATCTAGATTATTTGGTCATTTAGCAAATGGAACAGAAAGTATGACTAAAATGATTTCTCTGCCTGTTGAGAGGCAGTAAAGATTATGTAATATAGAGAGTCTGAGTTCAGGTTTTATCACTTTGCCTTGGTCCAAATTACCTACTACTAGCCTTTCTTTACCTCAACTTCTTCACTTCATTGTGGAATTAATAATATTGCCTCTCTCACCATTGAGGCATAAATGAGTCAACATTCATAAAATGCTGAGACTAAGAGACCCAAAGAAAGGAATTTTCCAGAAGTAGAAGCTGTACCTTCAAGTTTTGTTTTTGTTTAAATGGAGGAACTTTTCTCCATGATTTTTCTATGTGTCTGTCATATGTGTCATAGACAGAAACACATACTGCTTATTGACATATATTGACATATATTTCCATATATGTCATGAGCTTATCTGAAATGAAAACACTACATTTTGGGACTTTTGTGTATCATGTGTATATACTCCACAGTACACATGTCTTAGCTGAGTGATAATTTAATACTGAATAGGCACAGGTTACTAATCATCAAGATATTTATAAGCATGAGAGTGAATCTTGAGCTTCAAATTGGTCACCTCCTTTGATCTCTGTGCTAGTTCTTTCTTTTGGGGGGCTCCTCTATCTATTTTTAAGGTGTCCTATGTTTTAATATTTAAAACTCTGTTAGGTTCTAGCCTTAGGTAACTTTATGAACAGCTTCTTTGAATGTCTGGCAGAGCAGGGGACACTCCTTATTTTCCAGGAATGTCCCTCATCATGGTTTCTACTAAAATCCAACTGCTGGGCCGACCTGGTGGTCAAGGGGTTAGAGTCTCAGTGCTGTGGGGCTTGCCAGCCACTGCAGCACAAGTTCCAGCCCCCGTCCAAGGAGGTGACCCACTTGACACCTCTCCTGTCTCCACGTTGCTCCCCTCAGCAGTATATTTCAGTGGATTTGCCTGTTCTGCTCCCCACTGTACTGTATTTCTGGTGAATCCTCTCATCCCAGGCACCGCTGGCCTGTACGCCTGCTGAAGACCAGCTTCAGCTGAGGTAGTAAGGGTCTCCTGCAGGAAATGACTGTGTCAGCATAGAAAAAGGAGAGAGAGAGAAAAGATGAGATAGAAAAATGAGGAGATGCAGACACCTGTTTAGGGTGAAAGCATCTTCTGCCAGTTGTCCCAGCAGGTCTTTATTTATACTTTACCAGCAAGCGATGGGCTTACATCATTGTGTGCAGAAAGCAGGAAGCTTAACAATCATCACAGTTTTCTGAAAGACAGCTGGGACTTTTTGATCTCTTATTAAGACTGTGGTATTCATCATTCATTAATTAAAAGTACAGTTGATACACAAGACGTTCCTACAGTGACCAGTCATTAATAAAATATTCCTATGGTGATCAGTCATCAAACAAAATTATTTCTATAGTGATCAGTTATCAAACAAAATATTCCTATGGTGATCACTTAACAGTATACAAAATGTTTCTATGGTGATCAGTTAGCTATTACAACCTAAGCAATCATTTTGTTAATTTCTCAATAAACATATATCTTAAAGGTGCAGGATCTAATGTTAAGGAACTAGGAGTCAGAAAATACCAACGCTGAGTGCACTGACATTTCCCTGCCCCTAAGGAAAAAGCCCTTTTTTGATCTATAAAAGGAGCTTCTATTCATCATTATTCCTGTAATTGTTTTGTCAACCTATTCTGACATAAGAATTAGGGGAAAATTTCTTTCTTTATGTCCACTAATTATTATCCTATTAATCTTATCTAAAAAACCTTTTTATGTGAAAAGAAGTCGGGGTGAAAGTTAAAGGAAAGAGTAGGAAAACTTACTTATATTTTTATTACTTAAAATGAAACTATGTTACTTAAAACTATAGACCTTTTATTGGGGACTGGGCAGGAAATTATTGCAGCCTTTGGTTCCCAGAATTCTTGGACCATGACATGTCTCTCGTTATTGTGGAACTGAGATTTGTGCCAGCGCCCTCAAGCAGAGGAATATTAATTACTTTACAACATACTGTGCCATTTTATGTACAACGCTATTATTAGTGAACCAATCAATCCAATCACGTAGTTATTGATTTTATATTGAATGTATATTTGCACAATGACTGTGCTTCTTGGGAACAGCCAAAAACAAACCATACTTCTTGGAAACAGCCATAAACAAATGAAAAGAATCCAGCTGTGGAATATCCTGACTTTAAAAGATTTTTTCCCCCACGTCAGAACCTTGTCATACAATGTGGGTAGCGTGGCTCTCTCCATACCCCAGTTCTTGTATGAACAAAAATAAATCTTAAAAAAAATAAAATCCAACTGCATTATCTGATGTCAGTGTGCAGAGGTATTGGGTTGAGAGCAGGGTCCTTCGGTTACCTCTGAAAATGTTTCATCAGAGCTCCCCTTCCAGCAGCACACAGAGAGTTTCCCCAGGCGAGCCTCCCCATAAGGCAGAGACATTTAGTTATTTCCAGAAGGGCAGGTTTATTATAAAAAAAAAAAAAAAAAGGGACTGAACATATGGGATGCAAGTGGGCAGAAAGAGCTGCCCCTGAAAGCGACATGCTTTTTCAGGACCCTGCATAGTCCCAGGCTGGTGGCCTCCAGAAGGAGCTGCCGCCGCTTTGCAAAGGGAGAAGGTGGATGAAGAGAAGCACTGCACGGGTGGCGCAGGGGGGCAGGGCAGCTGCCTCCTGCCAGGACACAGATTGCACTGCTGGGCTTCTCTTTGGGAGGGCTCATTCCCGTGGGTTTATGAACTATTGTTAAATTCCTTATCTCAGGGTTGGCACCTCAGGATTTAAAAAAAAGATTTATTTACGTATGCATACAAGAACTGGGGAGTGGGCCAGAGGTGAAGAGGGTGAGAGGACTCACCAGAGACAGAGTGGGGAGCAGAACAGGCAGACAGACAAAGTACACTGCTGAGGGGAGCAGCGGGCAAGACAGGAGAGGTCTGCTGCACTGGGCTCCTGGGCCAGGGATTGAACTCCTGCTGCAGTGGCTGCTGATAGCTTGACAGCACTGAGACTTTCACCCCTGTGCCACCAGGGAGGCCGCTATGGATTTTTTCTATATGTGGTTTGACTGAGGACATTTGAAAGGACCAGTGGTTTTCTTACATTTGCCCCCCAACCTTCATATCCCCATATCCCGTCTGAGCCTTGGGCTGCACCTCCAGACTCCTTACTCTTCTATAACTTGTTTATAGAAACCATTTCTACCACCACCTCCAGCTTTTGGCCTTGTGGTACCAGTCTGTAGTCATGTAATGCCTCCTTCCTAAATTTTCTTTTCTCAGTCTCCATCATTATCCAAACAACATGAGAACCAAAATACCCTCACAAATTCTCCAATCTCTCCCTAGGATATGGTACTGCTGCTTTGAGGATTGTTAGAGTAAAAGAGAGAAATAGCAGATAACTGCAACAAGATGATGAAGTAGCTTAAGGATTTGGGATGTGGGATTGTGGCCGGCAGGTAGGCAAAACGCTCTAAAAAAATGAAAAATTCTGTCTCCTCAGTCAACCCAGTGGTAGGCCTTGATGTTCCCCATCCCCCTTGCACGTGCCTGGTGAGGCTGGACATGGACAGCATCATTCTCTTTCTCTGGAAGGTCTCCAAGAAGGACATGTTGGTGGAGATCTTCCAAGGTTCACCTCCACATCTGGGAGGTTCACAGTCTGAGTAAAGAAAAACTTGGAATCCAGATCGAGTCCCAACTCAAGAGACCTCAAGTTGTGTTGTGAGCAGAAATATCGAAGAGCTGATAAACAGTTTGTGGCTACTGTCATGCACAAGGGCTCCAGATGAGTTCTCAAAAGAATAGGTAAAGAACACATGTTAATGGGAAAACTTAGGGTTCAGAGATGGGCAGGATGCACAGCCAGAGATTCCCATACCCTCCATGTTCCCGGCAGAAAGGTTGCTGGAGGCAGGTGCTCTGCTGGACACTCAGAGTGGGTCAGTGCTGTTCTTTGTGCTAGGAGCGAGCGAAACAGTTTCATCAGTGCAGGGATGAGTAGATTGCTTGGTGACAGTCTGAATGTGGGTTACCAACTCTTTGAAAGGAGTCATTGGGGAAAGGTGGCCTAGTACCTGGAATCCTTGGGAATGATGGTCTCTGTGGCAGAAGGAAGAAGTCCCTTGACCAAGGGAAGCTTGAGTCTGCTTTAGACCCGACTACTCTTACTACTATGAGAATAATGTTGGGTAGGGAAGCTGGTCCCCAGCACATTTTTCAGGCACCTTAGAATGTGTCTAAGGTTCTTTCTGGGCAGTTCAACTTGTCAGTGCATATATAATTATATTAGATACAAATGCTCAATTATATTTCACTAGATCTCAGGCATCTGGACTAAAAATTTCCATATGTGATTCTGATGTGTAGATTCTAATCTTCCTTTCAAAACCAAGTTTAGCCCCTTCCCAATACCTATTTTCTCTAGTACCTCCTGCCATAGTCTCTGTGAAAATTTTTGATCTTTTCTATAGAATAAAGTATTAAGTTTGAGCTCTGAATAGTCCCTTGTCTCCTGCACCAATAAATGTGTTATGTCACTTTTAATCAGCAGAAATCCCTGCATGGGAACTGGACATGATCATCCAGTTGGATGGAGAACAACGATAGAAACTGATCTTCAGGGAGCTGATGAGGGGAGTGACCATCTATACCTGTCTATGTGAGTGGCATTGTGAAAAGACACCAAGATGATATTTACGAGACTAATGTTCTAGTCTAAAATCTAGCAATTTTCTGGGTGATTTAAGTGAGATACTCTGTTCTGTATTCGCCATATACATGAATTGACTTAGATGATTTCCAAGTTAAGCTCTGTTAGGTAATTGTTAAGCTTATGGTAATCTCTGATTATAGATGTGGTTAGGAGAATAAACCACTTGGAAGAAGGACTGAGCCACAGTTGACAGTGGGGTGAGTAGTAGTTCTGAAATTTTGTTCTCTCTTAATGCCAAGGAAATGGTTTAATCCAAGCTTTGACAGTGTCATTTTTACTTTCTTTTTTTGTGGAATTACCTTTTTCACATTTGCGAGTACTTTTCTCATGCCTTTATCTCAGTCCCATGACCAACCAGCTACCATAACTAATAGTTCCTTTTTTTTTTTTAATTCCTTACTTCATCTCTTCTCTTCCCTCTTTTTGGTTTTGCATATTACCCAATTATTTTTTTCCTATGTCTTCATGATCTGTGTTCACCATCCCACCATAAAAAGCTCTATCCACTTCTCTTCTGGCTGTGTTCATCGCTCTTCCACTGTCTCTTTTAATTTTCTCCCCATATAAAGTTGCTAGTGTATAACGAATTGCATGAATTTGTTGTCTTTTCCTTTACTGGTTCACTTTTCCTAGCTCTCAACACTAGACCAAGTGACATTTGTATTTTAAATGTCTTTCAGGGAGGGAGATTTGAACTGAACCAAGGCATCACATGAATCAGGCTACTCGTGAAGACCTAGGGCTTCCAGAACTAGCAATGGAAAGTCTCAGAGGAAATACTGCCCAGTCTCCTATAAATGAAGAAACTTATACTGATGAGGGCCAGTTATCAAGGAGGACAAAATTTCCTATACAAAAGAAGAAATCTTCTTTTGAGAAAACAGCAATCAGAAAAGTATCAGTGACGCTCAAGGAGATTTTCACTGGCGAGAGAGGTCCTGAATCCAGTGAACTTAATCTAAGCTCAAAACTTAATGTACTGCAGGAAATTCCAAAGGGAGCTACAGCCCCCAAATCTAGGAAAAACTCCAAAGATAATTCAGACTTCATCAAACACCAAAAACTCTTTCCACAAAAGAAAACTTGTAAATGCAATGAATGTGGGCAAGCCTTTAGCTACCAATCAGAACTTATTGTCCACAATAGAATTCATGGTGGGGAAAAGCCTTTTGAATGCAATGAATGTGGGAAAACTTTTAGCCGAAGTACACACCTTATTGAACATCAAAGAATTCACACTGGAGAGAAACCTTATGAATGCAGTGAGTGTGGAAAAGCTTTTAGCCGGAGCACACACCTTAGTCTACATCAGAGGATTCACACTGGAGAAAAACCATACGAATGCAGTGAATGTGGAAAATCATTTAGCCGAAGAACTAACCTTAGTCAACATCAGCGAACTCACACTCAAGAGAAACCTTACAAATGTAATGAATGTGGGAAAGCCTTCAACGACCGTTCTACCATAATTCAGCACCAACGAATACACACAGGAGAGAATCCCTACGGATGCAGTGAATGTGGCAAAGCCTTCAGTTGGATCTCATCTCTCATTGAACATCAGCGAACACACACAGGGGAGCACCCTTATGAATGCAGTGACTGTGGGAAAGTGTTCAGTCGAAGCTCATCCCTGGTTGAACATCAGAGAATCCACACTGGAGAAAAGCCCCATGAGTGTAGAGAGTGTGGGAAAGGCTTCAGTAGGAGCTCATCCCTTGTTATTCACCAGAGAACTCACACTGGGGAGAAGCCTTACAAATGTAATGACTGTGGAAAAGCCTTCAGTCAGAGTTCAACCCTCATCAGACATCAGAAACTTCACACTAAAGAGTGAGGTTTCAATTTTTACTAATATTAGTATAAGGGCACAACTGAAAAGAAAAATAGGTACTTGTTTGTATTTTCCTTACTTACTAGCTACAAGCCAGTTTCAAGATATCTTTTCTTCTTTTTCCTGTAATCGATCAAATAAGTAGTTGATACAAGGGAATGATATATTCAGTCTAATTCTCTGGAGGGCTTCAAGCCTTAGAGTGTATAACTGACAGCCTATAACTCTTCATTTTCTCTAAACCATGGGACTTGTGTCCCTGAATAACCAATAAGCCCAGTTTCCCAACCGCATCAGCCCCTTCACTTAAATGAAAATCTTCTTTAAAGGTGTGTGTTCTTATTTGATGGCTCCTATAGCAGAAATTAGTTTCAGGATTAGATTAAAAACTTTCCACCCTTGTGGGGATAATAATGCTGAGGTAAATTCAGTCTTTTCACTTACATAGGGTTTTCTCTTCCTTCCTCACCTATTTTTGCTGTCACATATTTTTCTCCAACTTTAATCATAACTCTACTAAAATGTCTAACTAATCCTACTTTATTTGATCTTACCCTTTTTAAGAATATCCTAAAAATCTTTCATTTCATTATATTGAAAAAGAAAATGCTGCCTTATTTAAAAATTTTTTTCCTTTAGTTTATAGACATCATTAAGCTTAAACACTCTGGCTCTTATTCTCATCAGTGTTGTAAAGCTGATCTCTCCAGGACAAACTCAATGCCTATTTCTCAGGCCTTTTCCTATTTGACTATTGCAGAATTGGCATATCTAGCCACCCCTTTGCCTTAAAATTTGAACTTCTAGGATCCATGATTAGGTGCTGATCCTTATTCTACCTCTCAGCACTCTTCTGGTTAACAATGATCAGTGTTGTGACTTTGGGCTACAAGTGGATCAGAATAATCTCATTTTATCAGGTTATAATTATTGAGGTTATTCAATTAGATTGTAAAACTTAAGGACAAAAATCTTTTTTAGATCTTTATAAAATACCCCAAGATGCTGAGTAGTCACTAAATGTCCTGTAATTCTTGCTTACTGATATCTCTAGCTGATTTAATCACTCTGCTAGACTTTATATGAAATGGCTTAATTATTGATTTCTTTGTTCTCTGTTCTTACTGCCTCAGACAAGTCCTCACTAGATTTGACCTGAATGATTGCTGCTGCCTTTGTCTTCCTGTCTGCCTAACTGCTTGATTAAACACCCACTTTGTTTAAATTATCCCCAGGAAATACCTCAAACTGTGTTCAGTGTCTTTTACAGCTGGATTTGCAGTTGACCCTTGAAAAAATGGGTAGGGATATTGACCCCCATACAATTGAAAATACATGTATAGGGTCTCCCTGGTGGTGCAAGCGGTTAAATGTCAACACTATGAAGCTATTAGCAGCCAGGACAGCACACTCCCCTGCCAGGGAGCTGACCTCATGGTCTGCACAGCAAGCCTCTTCTGTCTCTCCTGTTGCTCCCCTTAGCAGTGTATTTCAGTCATTCCACCTGTTCTGCTCCCCACTCTGTCTCTGGTGAATCCTTTCACATACCACCCCCACCCATGCACCTCTGGACTATACCCCAATCTCTTGTATGCATAAATAAATAAAATAAATCTTAAAAACAAGAAAATTCATGCATAATTTTTGTCTCCCCCAAAACTTCACTAATAGTCTGCTGCTGAGTGGAAACTGTACCAACAACATAAATAATCAATCGATGAACACATATTTGATATGTTACTATGTACTGTGTTCTTAGAATAAAGTAAGCTAGAGAAAAGGTGGTATTAAAATCATAAGGAAAATAAAAAACATTTAGAGTGCTACAATGGATTTTTAAATACCATAAGTTTATGTCATTTGTTGTAAGAATTGGTGTGTATAAGCCCACACAGTCAGAGTCATTGCTCAGGAATCAACTGCATTTACTTGCTCTCACTACTCCCCAATGCACTTGAGCAGGTCTGTCCTTTGTCCCTTATACCATCCTTCTCCCACTTGGCTTGGCTTCTTCTCACACTATTCCATAGCACCCTTTCACAAAGCCTACTCTCTTCCTTGCAACTCCAGAAATCCTATCCAGTTTCTAAAAGGCTCTGCTCAGCACCTGCTTCTCCTGTGACCTCTGCCTCAGGAGTGCTTTGCAATGATGGTTTATATTATTCTCCTATATTCCACACCATCTATAGTTCTCTGGTTTCTTTGGCTGATTTCTTTGCATAAACTGATTTGAAGTCAGTTGTCTTAAATCTCTCAGAGGCCCAATCTAATCCATAGTACAATGCTGTTCTGGATTCTAGTTTTAATCTAAACTAGGAGGGCCTAATAATGTAAACTCCAGTCTTTTGAGTGGTGACATAACCTCATTTTATTGTCATCCTGTTTGTCTGCCTCTAATTATGTATATTAACTCTTATTTAGAGCTTTTTGGGGGGGCCTGGTTTACCACATCATGAGGCTATTGTAAAGAATAAGTGATTGTGTTCATGTTAGGTGGTGAAAACAGTGCCTGATAAATAGTAAGTGCTTAGTACATGCTAATTTTTCTGATGCTACTGCTTCACAGCTACCTATAGCCTTTCATTTCATTCCCTGTAGGGCCTGTACTTCACCAACAGGTCACAATCAAATAAGTTAGAAAATATTTCTTCTAACTGCAGCATCAAAGCCATCAAAGCACATACAAATCAGCATTCGAGAAGGGACAATGTGATCAAGATTAGACCATTAGATCAAGTTATAGTACAGTTATTCAACCAGGGATGTAAATCAAATATCTGACAACCAAAGTGAGACAGTTATTTGCTTATGTTGTACTGGGAAGGAAACAATGTCCATTCTTCATGGAAAGCAAACTTTCACAAATAGATTTAGGATAAATTTTTCCATTGGCCTTCATGTAATTGTACAATGCATTTCATAGCAAAGCAGTAAAATACTGAATCCTCCACAATCCCTAGCACATAGCAGGTTCTCCAGTGAATATTTAGCTTACAGAATGTTTGGAAAGGCAGATGTGAAGACTATTCCTTGGGACGTAGTAGGGGTCCAAGGAGAAGGGGATACAGTGTATTAGATCATAAGTACTTACGGGGTATTGGGGGAAAAGCTCTTCTCACACATTTGAGTCATTAAAGTCACATTATGTGATGAATAAGCTAAAGTTTACTGGTGTTAGTAACTTCTCCAAGGACTAGGATTTGACTTCAGTTTTGCTGACTCCAGTAATGAGACTCTTAAGCTGGACCTGGCAAGAGCTGGAAAAAGAAAAAAAACTGGGAACCGAGTAAGTAAAGGTTTAGAAGTGGGAAAAAGTGGTCAGTTTTTTTGTAGCAGGTGCACTGGACCACCTATGGCAGGGATTTCAAAGAAGTAAAATGATAAAGTTGATTCGCATTGATAAAGGCAAACCTTGAGCACTTGATCATGTTTGGGTTTCATCTTTTAGGCAACAAGGGGATGACAGGTTTTTTTGGTCGTGGTATAATAATGTACGTAAGTGCGGTTAGGGAATGACTAATGTGGTAGAGGACAGTCAGAGGGCAGAAACCAGGGGCTGGGAGCCGGTGTCTTAGAATAGTGATAATGGCAAATAGCAGCAATGGGAAATAGCTGAAGAAAATAAAGGTAAGCTAAGTGAAAATAGTGACTAGATATGGGTAACATGAGGCTGCGTTCCTTAGCTGTTGTTAACTTTCTCGTGAGCCACTAGGGCATGAACTGAACACCTGACACACTTAGCAGTTAGTCATGAATGCAAAACATACCGGAAGCTCTGCTGAGATTAAACCGCATCTTTCAAAAGAAGCCAACCTGGAACAAAGAAACCTTTAGGGTTTTCGGTGGCACAGTCAGTCAGAAGGCAAGAGCAATCAGCCCCATTAAAAGGCGAAAAAAGGAGGGTTTCCCCAAATGTGGGAGCCGCTGGAATAAAGCCGTCAGGCAATGTGGAGGTGGAAATTCAAGATCTAATTCGGGCTTCCAAATAGCGGCCAGGCCAGCCGAGACCATCACCCTCTAGAGAGTGAGGCCCCGAGCAGTTAATACAGAAACCAGTCTTTATACACTGCAGGCCAGGCACCGAAACTTCGTTGTCACAGAGATGACATTCTTACAGTGGGGCTAGGATGTGTGTCAAGTCTTAACGAACCATATGACCCGCGTCCTGCTCCTGTTGCAGACGATAATCAGTTTTACAAGTTTTTTACCTTTGACCGCACAGGTATTTGGGACATTTCCTATTGCAGCAAGCAGCCAGCAGAACACAGAAGCAACATGGCGTTAGCTTGGTTCAATACAGGTCCCACACAACCAAGAGACGCGCAGCCACTTGGCGAAGGCGGAAGGAGAACATCACCTAGTCTTTTCTGCCAGTCCAGGTGGGGAGAGAGAAAGGTTCCTCCTTGCCCATCTTTGGCAACTGTGGCCTGGGCGCGAGACCACCGGGCGG